CACAGCCCTGTCCTCTCCCCCATCCCCTCAGGTGATATTTACTATTCAGTGTCTAAGAATTACTCTTACTGTTTCGGTGGTTTGTTCTCTGGTTATATATATTCCACAAATGAGTAAGACCATCCAGTAACTGTCTTTTCATTTTCTGACTTATTTCACTTAGCATAATCACCTGAAGACCCATCCATTTTGTCCCAAAAGGCATAATTTTATTTTTTTAATAGCTGAGTAGTATCTTCCATTGATGATATATTCTACAGTATTTTTTAGAATTGTAGTCATCTGTTGATGATTGCATCCAGTCATCTGTTGATGAACTTTTAGGTTGGTTCTATGTCTTGGCTATTGTAAATAATGCGCCTTTGAACATAAGTGTTCAAAGTGTGTAAGTGCGTAAATCTTTTCATATTAGTGTTTTCATATTCTGTGGGTAAATACCTAGCTGTGGAGATTCTTGAGGAATCTCCATTCTATTTTCCATAGAAATTGCAACAAATTGCATTACCAACTACAGTGGATGGATATTCTTTCTCCCACTACATCCTCACCAAAATTTATTGATATAGGCCATTTTCAAAAGGGGTGAGGTCTGTCATATTTTGAGCAAAATCACATTCAATGTGATTCTAAAGTTGATTTTCTTTTTACTACCTTTGTGGTGCAAATTCACCATGAGGTTACACAATGGCTGGGTTCAGGAGAACTTCCTTAATTCAGTTCTCTTCCTTATACTTTCTTTTACTTTGATTTGAACTTTCATCCTACATTTAGCCCTCTACTTCCAAGGGTCACCCCTTTCCATCAGATAACCAGCATAAGAAATACAGAAATAGCTTTGGGGTGTGGCTATCTTATAACTAATTGGTTAGTAAAAGGATGTTTATTGCAGATCTTAGACTGTTCAGAAACTCCCTTCTATCAGTTCTAGAAAAGGTGACGCCTCAGAACCAAACACTCAGTTGGCTGATCAACAAAATAAAACAACAGTTTATGCCTGGGACCACAATGGCTAAATAGATCAGTACTGACATGTCAGAACATTCCATTCTGTTAGGAAATGTCAGAGAGCAGAGGTGGAGGAGTGGCCAGGGAGAGCATTTGTAAGCAGAGGTCACCAGATGACTTATCTTCTGGCACACAGAGATCTCGATTAGCCCTTCCTTTTTTGCTGGGTTGGGCTGGAGATCAAGCACTGCACAATTAACTATTCACTTCTTCCTTTCCAGTATTGTCTATTAATTTTTCAATTAACTAGATGACATTTTAGTAGTATTGATTTATTTTGGGTAAGATTACAAATAATATTTTAGCATGAGATGACTAATATGATACATTTGTACCGATTTTGCTTAACTCCAGTTTCAGGAAGTTGCATTCTTCGTTTTGGATTTCAGCACATGCTGTTGGTCTGGCATATAGTAGATGTTGGTAGCTGATTGCTCAATCAATAAATGCTGATTAAAGGCTTACTGTTTGCGAAGCATCATGCCAGGTTCTAGGAATGCTGTGATGAGTGACAATGCTTTTAAGGGTGGGATTGCTATTGTCAGGCAGCAGGAAAGGATGGAGCAGTGGGGAAGTGTGCTATTTGTGAGAGGTTTAAGGATAGATGGCCTGGTGATTGGGAGCACATGTCCATCTCGTTGTCTCTAACTGACTCCTAGAAAAGTAGCTGTTTTTGTGCTTTAGTGTTCTCATATGTAGGAAATACTAGAAAAAGAAGTACTTGTGGTGGGGGGATACTCTTTTTAAAAGGAAGGAGGATAATTAAAGTGCCCTTTATTAGATTTGGTGATTAATGGTTAGAATGCTATTTTCTGCCTTTGTAATTACAAGCAAAAGTAGTGGTCTAAAATAACTTTGTTTTCAGCTCCTATCCATACTCCAGTGATTGCATGGTTGAGAATTTTGAAAATAATGAATCACCTGTAGAGAAAGGTAATTAGAATGCAGTTAGTGAAACCTCTCTGCCTCTCGGTGTTGTGAAGCAGCCCTCAGAGAAATGTTTCCATCAACAGTCCTGTTTGTGTATCTTCACAGTGCTGGTGGTTGGCTCAATTAACTAGAAATAAAAGAAGTTTCTGTGCTCTGTCAGGTATTCCCAAGTATATATCAGCAGAACTAAGAATTTGTCATTGCCCTTTTTGATTTATATTTTTAAAAGGGAATGACTAGACATACCATTATAAGCTTCAAATATAGAATCATGAATACACACTTGATTAGACATTTGTAGGGTAAGGTAAAAAGTATCAGGCTTTTCTGCCTTCCCGTCATTAGGATAGATGACGGAACCCTGTGGTCCCAAACGCATGCCTGATGGCGGGCACCTGGAGTGGGGTGTGGGCATGCGTAAGTGGGTACACCTGGGCTAAGATTAAGCTTATAAGGGCGGTATCACGGGGATGCCAGCAGAAGCCGAGAACCACGAGAAGAGCAGAGAGCCCAGCTAGAGTGAAGGCTTGCTTGCGGGTGGGAAGCCTGCTAGCCTTCCGGCCCACCAGCACCCCTACCTGCCATGTACCCGGTAAATCCCAATAAAAGCTCGTAAAGGCCACCGAGGGCTCCAGGACCCTCTCCTCCTTTACCCGGTCTGGTCTGCTGGGGTCCTAGGAAACCTGCACAGGGCCATCCTGCCCTTACAACATTTCAGTCAAGAAACCCGCCAAAGGTACAGGCATCTGCTTTATTTCTGTGTTACCGAGGTTGACCTTCAGCTTATGCAGGAAGGCTGCCAGCTGCAAAGGCGCCCCTCACCCTCCTGACCAACGCCTGGCCTCCTGGTCCTGCTTACTGGGTCACTTCAGAACTTCTTCAGGTGCAGCTCTCAAAATGATGCAGAATCATTGGGTCCTCTATGAGTTCTGCTAAAGAAGTAGTGTCTAGTTTTCCTAACAAGAAAACCTGTGGACAGAATTATTGAAAATGGGATATCAGAGCAGGAAGGGCCCTGAGGAATCTTCTGCTCCAGAGCTCCCTTTTCCAAAAGAAATGGCGATCTAAATTTATGGTTTGTATCTGGCTCTTAGTAGATCCTCTGTTGTCCTTCAGTTATCATTGGGATTAAAGGGGATGACACTTTCATAACCCCTAGAACTGTCCCTGGGACATAGTAAATGTTCAGTAAATGTGAGTTATTATTTCAAGTAGCAGAACCCAAACAGAAACCTGGGTGTCTTGACAGCCCAGTGTTCTTTCAGAGCCACGAATTTTATATTGCCCACACTGGTCAGAAGAAAAGTGTTTGAGGAAGTTAAGATATGTTTGTTTAGTTAAGATAAAAATAGGGGCCTTCTTGGTGGCTTTGGGGTAAATTTGCATCGCTATCATCTCTATGGCCTGAATTCGATCCCACCTGAGTTTGATCCCAGGCCCGGGAACTACCCACATGTGACTAAGCAGACCTCTCCTGTCTCGCCCACTGCTCCCCTCAGCAGTGTATTTCAGTAGATCCCCCAGTTCTGTCTCTGGTGAATCCTCTCACCAACCCCCCACCCTACACCTCTGGCCTACACCCCAATTCTTCTCTGCATAAATAAATAAAATAGTGTTAGCCTCAATGTGCCCATGACTGGGCACTTACTTGGTGCTGAGTTTTGGGCTAAGCAGCGCATACCTGTGGTGCCATTTAAAACTTTAAGCCTCTCCGTGTCTTCCAGAGTCACACCCTTAGTATTTCCACTGGACTCCAATGAAGGCTAAGCTAGGCCACTCACCCAGTCACATTGCTAATATGGGGCTTGGCTGGGTTTTGTATCTTCTTCTGTCTGACTTCAGAGTCTATATTCTTAACCATTATTTTATTCCTGGAGCTGGCAAATTATGGCCCAGATGCCAAATCTGGTCATATTTATTTTTATCTAGTCTTCCAGCTAAGGAAAATATTTTTTTGGTATTTTCAAATGGTCAGAAAAAAAAGTGAGAAAAAAATATGTCATGGTATGTAGAAATTATGTGCAATTCAAATATCAGTGTTCATAAATGAAGTTTATTGAACATAGTCCTTTGTCGATGGGTTGTCTGGACCTAGTTTTGTGCTACAGAGAGTGGAGGGAGTTGTGATAGAGACCATGTGGCCTGAAAGGCCTAAAATATTTATTATCTGGCTTTTGCTCTCTGTTTTTCCTCAGTGATTATGCTTTCTGATTCTAATAATTTAGAGCATAATTGTGGGATTTTTGTAAGGCCTGTTTCCTGTTACTTGACTTTTTAGTTTATTCCATGTGAATTAAGATGTCAATCATTTGTTTCTTCCCTGTTGTCAACTTCATTATTTTTTCCTTGTCTTGGATTCTTGGGAGCTTTACTATTATGTGTCTTGCTGTATTTTTCCTTCATCATGGAAGTTTGGTGTTCTTGCTTCTTGTATGTCTCTTTTCAGCTCCATCTTCATGTTTGGGAATTTCTTTTCAGTTATTTCCTTGAATATTTTCTCTGTTCCTATGTCTCTCTCCTCTCCTTCTGGGATTCTTGTAACTCTTATATTTCCTTTCCTAAAGAAAAGGAAGGTCTCACTGGATGGTCTCACTCATAGCAGGAATTTAGAAAACCTAAATAAGGGACCAGGATAAAACCTAATTATGATAAAGTAAAAATCAAAATCAACAAGCAACTATAAACCAGAGACACACGGTGGGGGGAGAGATTAGGGTCAAAATAAGGGGTGTGAGAATTGTATGGGGACTAAAACCAAGGTGAAAATGCATATATTGTACAAAAATGAAAAATGTAAATATATATAAAGATGTCAATCAAATGATAAATAGTATGCATAAAAGGAGTTCACTAGAATTATCTGTGGTTCATCTTTTTTAATAGCTTGAGGAATGATTTGTTACTGGGTAGCACTGGAGACTCTTGATGTTCACCTGTCTAGCCCCCGCCGTGGATGGCATCTCTCTGTTGTTTACATGCCCATCATGTCCATTTAGTTAGCTGATTATTTTTAAATTTCCAAGTGTGTTAGATGCTGCACTCACTCTGTTTTCTTTCCTTTGCAGTGGTTTGCTGTCTTCTGATTATGTGGAGATTCACTATGAAAATGGGAAACCACAGTACTCTAAGGTACAGTTAATAGTGTATGGAAATCCTGTAGTATAAATATAATCATAGAACAGTTCAATGCACACTGCATTGTTTTGAATCCTATCGCAATAAAGTCACCTGTTCTCATAATGTGAAGGTATATTTTTAAATTTGAGAAGTTTATTAAAATATGTATGTTAGAGGTAACATAAGAGGGTCTATGTATGCAGGTCAGTGGAGAAATGTTTACTTTTTGGTTCTCCGTGCAGTATCTCATGTAAGTGAATGTTATGTGCTATAAGGAGCCAGCCTATTCCATATCAGTATCTTAAAGTGGTAGATAGCCAGGTTCATGGTCACAGAATCTGAAAGATAAGCCTGGATGGATATTAGAAACTCAAGTGACTTTCGTACCTTAGAAGGGCAGGTGGGAGAAGGAAGACAGGTGGGAGACAGGTGGGAGAAGGAAGACTTGGGTATCATACTCCCTCTTAGTCTTCGCAACAGTTCTTTATGGTGGATATTATTCTTTCTGTTGTGTGAAAGAAGAAATTGAGGTGGAGAGGCAAATAACCTGCTCCAGGTCACCATGCTTGACAACATAAAGGTAGGTGAGTACTTTTCCCCTTCAGATAAAGGTGAACTTTTGTTCTCTTCATAGAGGGACAGTGCCAAGTGGGTTTAGATTAAGACAAAAGAAAGATGGAATAGCTGTATTTAAGGCTCTGATTTGTAGAAGGTCACAGAGTGCCACTGTGCATAATCACTGTCCATGCAAACCAATGGCATGGAAGAGGAAACAGAGAAATACAACAAAGTAAGGGAATATTATTGGTTTTTCCCACTAAATTGCTAATGAGTATCAGCACAAAAGTGGGCCAGGGAGCTTGTTGGGTTGCACAGTCTACAGAACTGGGATTTTCAGACTGATAGACTATCAGCAAAGACAGTGGCCTTAATTGTGAATGCTGGCAGGGGGTCATGGCTGGTCTGGGGATTTATAGCTATCTGGTTTGCTGTGGGTACATTGGTTATTTATGTTCCAACGTTTTGAATTTTATGCCATGGATTAAGAATGTCCATATATTATTCTTACTATCCTGTCAGTTCTTGCCTTGGGCTGCAACTTGGGAGTTGTTGAATCTCCCTGGAAGTTAGTGCTGTGGAAAGTGAGCAGAAATGCTAAATCAAGCACAGTAACGGTGCTTCCTGGCATTTGTACAACCCAAAGCTCCTGTCAGTTGTGCCAGCACTGTGAGCACTGCGGATGCTGAATCATGAATCTGGATAGAGAAGGCTATGTGAGAACTATATAGACTCAGCAAATGAGCCACCTTTGTAGGCCACAGTAACCTGATCCAAACTTCTCACTAAGAAGTTCAGTCTTCTATTTTTAGAGGCAGAATAGCTAATTGGCCTCCAGAGGTCACTTGAGGTCCCCAAAGGAGGAAGCCTTATCATTAAGACACAACAAATCTTGTATCAGTTGTAACTACAATTTAAAACAGGATATTTCAACTCTGGCAAGAAAAGTGTTTATTGCAGTTTGTTTTCGTGTTCATGGTTTTATTCATGACCCATTTTCTCCAAAATAGTTCATATATCCAAACATACTTGCTTCACATATAATGGATTAATTGTAACAGTTTGTTTTAATGTGTCTCCATATATCTATTTATGTAGATATATAGATAAATCCCCCAAAGCCAGGTGATATGGTAAATATTACCTTACTGCAGCTTCCCACCATAGAAATAATATAAGCATTTTATCATGCATTAAAAAATCTTCCAAACTTTTATTTTTTAAAAAATGCATATTATTTCCAACTTATCTGCTGTAATTATTTAAAAAGCCATAGTAGCAGATAAATAGATTGCTTCTAGTGTTTTGCTACATACAGATAACTCTAAGAAAAGGTCTTCCCAATACATCTTGGACACATCTTTAATAATTACTTAAGGATTCATTGATAATGGTATTTTTGGAGCAAAGAGTTGGTACATTTTTCTAAGGCTTTTGATATATATTTGGAGTTTTTCTTCCTGAAAGTTTGTCAAAATTCAACCCTCCCATGAAGTATAATTACCTATATATTTTTAAAAGCATTTAAAAACATTTCATATTATCTTCCATGTTGTTTAAGAAAATCTTTGTAAGGAGTACCAGAAAAGGAAATTAACATGTAAGAATGGCTAAGTTTTAAGTACTCAGTTACAGATGAGTAAATAAAGAAGATGTGGTATATATACACAATGGAATACTACTCAGCCATAAAAAATGATGAAATCTTGCTATTTGCAACAATATGGATAGAACCTGAGAGGTATATGCTAAGCAAAATAAATCAGAAGGGAAAAGACAAATACTGGATGATTTTACATATATGTTGAATATTGAGAAACAAAGCAATGTTGAATATAGAGAAACAAAGCAAAGAATAGATGAAAAGAAACCAAAATGAACTCTTGAAATCTGACTGCAGAATGAAGGCTACCCAAAGGGCTGGGAGTGGAAGCAAATAGTGAACTATGGTGGAGGATTATTGTGCCTTTCACATAACATTGTGTGTTATGGAAACATCCATTTGTAGAGATGAAAAACTATATCTCTAACACTAGATTGTAGACAGTGTTTTAAATCAACATTACCTCTAAAACATTTTAAAAAATGGTTAGGTTAAGTAAGGCCATTTAGTGCAAACTTTCTTTCAAAGATCTCAAACTATTTAGACAAAAGCACATGTACCCAATACCTACAACATACACTACTATTCACATGTCTATAACAGAATCATTAAGAGTCTATTTGGGGCCTCCCCGGTGGCGCAGCGGTTGAGCGCTGGGTTGCGAAGCTGTCCACAGCTTCTGCAGCGCCAGTTCGATCCCCGGCCACTGGCAAGGGTCCCACATGGCGCGCAGACCTCTCATGCCACCCGCTGCTCCCCTCAGCAGTGTATTTTGTCAATCTGCCTGTTCTGCTCCCTACTCTGGCTCTGGTGAATTCTCTCACCCTCCCGCGCTTCTGACTGTACCCAGTGCTTGTATAAATAAATAAATAAATAAATAAATCTTTTTTTTTTTAAAAAAAAAGAGAGTCTATTTGACTTTGTAGCTAAATATAAATGTAGACATTGGAAGTATTTTGGGAGTTAGTTCCAAAGTAAATAATGAATCCACACTTTGAAAAAGATTTTTAAGTTTTCCCAATTTACTGTTGCCAAACTGCTATCTAGTTCCCACTTCTAGCTAAGAAGAGGCTATTGTCTTAGGCTTCAACTTAAAAAAAAAAATTGGTTTACACCATTGTTTGTGTATTAAAAGCATAGGTTTTAACTTTTATTGGATGATAGAGTGTTAAAAGGGCTTCTTTTCCTCTGAAGCAAATACAGACTTGGAGAGGTCAACATATTAGGCACCAGGTAATAGAAATGCATATGGAAGAACTTTTGTTCTGTACCTGTCAGAACACAATTTTTTGTTAGAATTCCTAACACAATGATTTGCATATAATATACAGTAATACAACTTTGTTGATTGACATTGTTGATTCTATTAAAAATTAGTTTTTAGTATTTCAGTTCTTATTGAAGAAATAGGCATCAAAATACAGTCTAAAGCAGTTTTTAAATTTAATATCTTTTTATTAAATCACATTTAGGTGAACCATTATCTTTAGGTGCTTTCTAGTACCATGGTTTCTCTTCTGCTTCTGAAAACTGCCACCTGGATAGCAGCATAAGACTAAATAGGCAGATGTATTGCTCCTCTCCCAATTTTCCTTTACCTTTTTATTCTTTGTTGTTACTGGGTGGGGAAAATGTTTCCACCCTCTATTTTCTTACCTTGTCAACTTCTTCTTGTCCCCTTGCTCACTCTTGTCCAGGGAGAGAGTTAGACTTGTGTGTGTAGTTCTTTCTTCCCTTTTTTGGGAGATCTACCTCTAGGTGACCACCTTCTAGGAAGAACACATTCTGTTCACTTCTCCATGCACTAAATTGTATAGTAGCAATGTGTGTGTGTGCACATGCAATGGGGTATTGGTTGTCCCATGTTTCTGTGTCTGGGTGTACAAGACTGGCTAACGGAGGGGCGCAGCATTAGTTGGCCAGTTGGATTCTCAGCTAATCTTCACTTCCAGTATAGCACTTTTGAAAATGAAGGTGAAGTTTTGATCTCTGTTTCAGTCTTGTCATTCTCTCATTTGATTTTAAAATTGGGTGAGTACTAATTAACACTGTCTGGGATGACTAATAAAAAAGATAGACAATAACAAAAGTGCTGGCAACTATGTGGAGAGCTGAAACTCTCACACATGACTGGTAAGGATGCAAGATGGTGAAGCTGCTTTGGAAAATAGCTTGGCAGTTGCTCAAAACGTTAAGAAGAAAGTTATGACTTAGTGATTCTGACTCAGTAGATATCTAAGTGAATCGAAAACATGTCTAGGCAAAAACATATATGGATATTCATAGTAATATAATAACGAGAAGTGGAAACAATCCAAGTGTCCCTCAGTTGATGAATAAATAAATGTGAAAGAGCCATGTAAAGGAATATTATTTAGCCATAAAAAGGAACGAAGTACGGGCACATGCTACAACACGCATGAATATTGTAAACATGCTAAGTGAAAGAAGTCAGTCACAAAGGACAACATTTATGTGATTCTGTTTACTTGAAATGTCCAGAATAGGCAAATCTGTAGAGACCAAAAATAGTGGTTTCCTGAGAAACCACTTTCATATAAAAACCACTTTTATATAAAAACTACTTTTATATAAAAATAGCTTGGCAGTGTCTCAAAACATGAAGAACTTTTATCCCAGGAAAAGGATAAAAGGGGGATGACTGGGGATGTATACAGGAATTCCTTCTGAAGTGATGAAATAATTCTGAAATTTTATCTTGGTAATGGCTGCACAACTGTGAGCATACTGAACCCCATAGAATTATATTCTTCAAAAGAGTAAATTTTATGATCTGTTGACTTCATCTCAAAAGAAAAAAATCCTTTAAGATTGGTCTCCACAGTTAGCT